GAAGCAAAATAACAGTATACAAAAAACTCTAAATCTACTCTACCCATGCGGACTATGGACAAAAAAATGAAGGACGCTAATGTCCTAAAAGCGTTGGGGGTGATTTGGTTGAGAGGCAGGCCGTATAGACCGCACAAGTCGAGCAAAGCCGGGCAGATGGGGAAACGGAGGCCTAGGTCGAAATGGGCACGGAAGAAGGTGTAATAACCCTCAGGAGGGTTATCAAAGTTATTATCGTCATCGGGAGTGCGAGCAGCCCCAGGATGGCCAATCGCATCAAAGTCGAGATGGGAAGCACTCGTCGACGGTTTGGAGGGTTTGGACCGTTTGGACGGCTTAGGATGAGGGGAGTGAGAGAGCATGGTCGAAGAAATGGGAACGCGAGTAGACAGCGGGACATGGTCTTGAGGATCATCCTCGTCTTCAATCTCGTCATCCTGGCCGATAGCTCGACGAGTACGCTCGGAGGGAGTAGAAGTAGGGCAGCTGGTGACCTCGTCTTCAGGTTGGTCGACAAGATAGGTGGAGGGAGAGAGAGCAGTGGCTGTAGGGCTATCGCTGGTCGTCGCAGGGGGAAGGACGGAAAGGGGCTCAGGCTAAAGAATTTCTTGCACTGAATCGCTCGATAAACTGAGAGTTGCGGAGGAGGAAGGAGAGGTCAGGTCCTTGCCACTGTGCCGATCATTTTCGCTCGAAGTAGCGGAATCTGAAAAAAGGGAGAAGAAAAGAAAAAGAAGAAAAATTTCAATTAATAAGAAAACAAAGGAGAAGAAGAAGAAAAGGGAAAATACGGCACAGTGGGAGAACAGAAATCGGAGGAACAAAGCGCGAGGGGAAGAGAGAGGGGAAAGAAAGGTAAAACCAAAAAATTCGAGGAGAAGAGAGTGGACGCAAAAATTAAAAGACTGATAAACATAAATAGAAGGTTAAAGAAGACTTACTCATGGTGAACGATGTTCTGTCGGCTGGAAGATCGAGGACCGTTAAGTTGCAAGAGAGCATGAATTGCAGAAAGCCTTAATGCGATAGAATGCGAAAGTGAAGAAAAGGAAAAATTTCCCTAAGTGTGGGTATTTATAAGGACGAAAAATAAAACAGGAGAAATTGCCAACCGCAGGATCATAAAGAGTGAAGGGCTGCGATCAGAAGGAAAATGAACGGGCGCGTAGTTTCGAGCCGTAGGATTAAAGTAGAAAATCCAACGGCAGGAAAAGGAGATACGCGGAAACAGGGCGAGATTCAAGGCAACACGGGTCACGAGGTCATCATGACCTCTGACAGACGAAAGGACGCATCCCAAAAGGGCGGACAAGTGGCAAGATTCAAAA